AAGCTGGCCGGATCATCCTAATCTCCCCTTTGTTACTATGCACACCAACCACAGATGCCTTATATTACAGTTACACATATTCTCCACAAGAACATGGTCTATATTCGCTTCATTTCTGCACCCCTCATAGCCTTACACTGTGATTAGCACACAGTAGGTATCCATAAATACTTATGAATTGAATTGGATATGCCTAACTTGATTCCAGAGCTCTAGGTCTGGAGTCACTCAAAAGAAACCTTCCTTTCTTCATATACCATTTTGTACCTGATCCAGATTCCCCTACTTGGAATTTCTGATAATTTGGGCAGAAGCCAGGCTAGGTTTTATCTTTGCAATAGCTACTTGAAAAGCAAATCAGCTAGCATAGCATATGTTTTACCTACTTAAAAGAAATTTTAAAGCATTGAGAATGACTTTTTTACACTCAATTAGTATGTTTTTTTATATATACTTTTCCTATACCTATCTGACCCTGAATGCATGTTAACTTCATCAAGATACATTTCTCGTTAAATATTTTATAATCAGACCAATCCTGCTCCACTGATTCAAATCAGTGAGGCTTTACTGCATGCATAATTACTCAAATATTCCTCTTCATTTGACCTCATACTTTTAGTGATAAATGCAAAGTGAGTCTCCTCTGCACGACATCAAAATCAATTGCCCTTTTATTCATTAAATTCATGTCAAACTATCACTGTAAGATTGAGATGTCCTCTTAGGGGCAAGAGCAGCAGCTGCAGGATCTTGAGTCTCCATGCCTTGGACAACTGGGGCAACCTCACGGGACCTTGTGGCTTCCTCGTCTGTGAAAAGGGTAATGAGGATTGATGCTCTTGTATCTAGGCTCCAGCAATGCCTGGCCATATGAACCTGGGAACATGTCCCATTGTCCAAGCCATGAGGTCTGGTTATCTGAGTTGCAAAGAGTAAATTCTTACTCCTTGGTTACTTCCAGGTGGACATGACTGACTCCAGAACCGCCCTGGGATCAGATTTCACCTTTTTACTCCAATCTACTATCCACGCCTCCTCCTCAGCTGACTGATAAGGTTCCTATTATCCCAACTGCCCCCAGCAAAGAGTACTCAGTAATTGCTGCATCTAGCACAATGTAGGAGTAATCTGGAGAATTGGAGGATGCAATGCCCACAGACATCATCGAACTGGGGGAAAATGCTGTGGTTGGATGCTTCATGTGGCATTAATTAAAAACAACCTGCATTTTTACAAATGCAGCTGTACCGCCCACTTACACTCCTCTACGGTTTCCAGTTAGCAACCACAAAAAACAGTCTCTGTCCCTTTAACTTCACAGAAACCACCCATAATTCACTTTAAGTCACAGAATTCCAAAGGATCGGTTCTTAATTAATCTGTGCAGAGGAGACATTTTCCCATGCAAGTTACCATGTGAATGATAACCCAGTGTTGCAATATCCCACTCAATTTGCCTTAATATTCACACAAGCAAGGAACTTGAGACCCAGGGAAACCAGCAAGTCCTTGGAAGACTGCCATCTGCTATCAAGTTACCTTAGTCTAGAGGCTGCCCTTCAGGATATATCACATTAGGAAGGACTTCCTTGGGAAAGGGGTGCTTTGGGACAAATAATTCAGAGTGTGCTCATGCCTACATAGACAGATATTTAGGCAAGACCTTGACGTGTTAATTTAACCCTCTAGGTCTCTGTTTTCTCATCTGTTCAATAGGAATAATAATCTCTACTCACTTGACAAGGTTGTTGCAAATAAATGGACATAACTGGTAAACAGCAACTCAATATGCGAGGCCAAGGAAGCAAGTGCATTGCCTTCTTTGCAAAAACGAGCACCTCATTGGTTATATCTCCCACCAGTGCCAAAGTCTCCTTTCTCCCTTCCTCAGACACAAGCATGCAACATAAAATGACAGGTGAAATGTCACTAGATACTGACATAAACAGAAGAAGAAAAAGAAAAACTAAAAGCAATCATTATCCACATACCCAATAAGCTTAGAATATTTTAAGAGAGGGACAAAGTGGGTCAGCCCATGGATAGCAAACATACCGTGCTTTCTAAATCAAACCATCAAGATGGAAATGCTAATATACTTGACCAAACACAATTCAACATTGCCTAGAAAAAGAGATGTAGAGATGGTAGAACACAAACACACACACTAGTAAATTGCTACTACTGGGTAAAAAGTGGGTACAGTAAACATTAAGAACAGCCTTGGGAAGTAAAGCAACCAGAAAATGTCCACCTGAATGCTGAGTGTGGAAGAGTATGGAGCAGCTCAACCTTTATGGTTTGTGATGGGAGTTATTAGAGTTTATAGGATTATTGTAGGGATAGCTTTTCTGTCATTTTCAGTACCTTAATTATAGGGCCACTTCTTTTGCTTACAATCAGAAGCTTCTCTGTGTCTCTGCCCAGAGTCCTGACTGGCACTTTTGGTGGCTTGTACATTAGTGGTTTCAGATTAAGATGATCCTCAACTGGTAGAAATGAGAGAAGAGAACATGGCCAACAAAGTTGTGTTGGGTGAGTGTTTTGGGGATCTATGGTGCGCAGCTGTGTTTGAACTTAGAAAAGGTAAGAATTATAAGGGTGCTCACAGAACACATGGTCCAAATCCTTCATTCCTAATCATCAGATGGAGGCATTAAAGCTCAGAAAGCAGAAGAGAGCCGCCCAAGTTCAAAGCAAGTGAAGGAGAAAGCTGGTAGAAGTCCATCGAGTAAGGTTGACTTCACATCACACATGAGCAGAAGGAATCATCATTAATTTCCCAAGGACTGACACTCAGGAGGTCTAACGTCACTGTTACTCCAGTGAGTAACTGATAATTGAAAGTAAGTAGTTCAAAAGGAAAATTGGTAGAAAATGAAAATCTTTAGAACTAATTTTTCTCCTCTTGGAAATTTTGGTGCATCTTATGGGCAATTTCTTAAAATTTCAGCTTTATTAAATATATATATTATTATATATTATATATTATTATATACTGCATTATTATATTATACATTTTATGGAATTCTTGATTTGAGGTGATAAAGTTGTCCTACATTTTTCTCTTTATTTTCTAAATATTTTCCAGGCATTTATTCCTGTTCTTCTTGCTTAGCATTGTTTGCGTATTTTTTTAAATTTAGCTTTCCTCTCCAAATGAATCATCTAAAAGAAGTTTGTCAAAAATGAGTGTTTGCAATCACTACTTCACATTTTTTAAACCTGGTACAATCAAGAGTAAAGTGCCAATTTTGTCATAAATTTCTGGCAATTCTATTCACTCCTTCAGTAATTTTGCCCTTTTCCTAAGTTTAAATTAATTTCTATCAATATTGCTTACTTTACATCTTTAGCTATTTTACTGCCTTGTTAATTGCACATTGCTTTAATGTTTTAGCAACACTTGTGTAACTCCTCTGCAACATTATATTGCAATTATTTAATGATATACTGGTAATTTTTTTCCTAAAACTTGAGCCTATGGGGAAAAGTATGAAAATCCTCAGTGAAGATTTAGGGACAAGCTGTCCATGAGCTTTTAGATTCATTGGCATTAAGGGCACAAATAAATACAGAGGAGATGTGACAGGCAAGGGGTCCTCTGAGTGAAGGGCAGGCCAACAGCTGGGTATCTGAGAGATCACACTGCAGCAGCCTGGGCGCAGAAATCTACATCAGACATTTGTGGAAGAGTCAGGAGTTGAAAATCGAGTATAAATCCTGATATATATTGGACATTCTGAAATTGCAAAGGTAAATTCCATGTATTATATGTTTAACGTAATAAAAAGTGAGCCTTTCTACAGAAAAACCTGCACACAGATGTTTAAAGCAGGTTTATTCATAATTGTCAAACTTTGGAAGAAACCAAGATGTCCTTCAGCAGGTGAATGGATCAATAAACTGTGGTACGTTCAGACAGTGGAATACTGTTCAGCAACAAAAAGAAATGAGCTATTGAGCCATGAAAAGACATGGAGGAAACTTAAATGCATATTACTAAGTGAAGAAAGCCAATGTGAAAAGGCTACACTGTATGATTCTAACTATGTGACATTCTGGAAAAGCCAAAAAACTATGGATATGGTAAAAGGGTTGGTGGTTGCCAGGGGTCCGGGGGAGGGAGGGAAGAACAGGTAGAGGACAGAGGATTTCTAGAGCAGTGAAGCCACTCTGCAGGATACTACAATGGTGGACACCTGTCATTACACATTTGTCCAAACCCACAAAGTGTACAACACCTAGAGCGAACCCCAATATAACCCACAGACTCTGAGTGATAATGATGCGTCACTGAAGTTCATCAATTGTAACAACAGTTACACTGCGGTGTGGGATGTCAGTAAGGGAGGCTGTGCATGGGTCGGGGCAGGAGTATATGGGAAATCTCTGTACCTTTCCCTCACTTTTTCTGTGAACCTAAAACTGCTCTAAAAAACTAAAGTGTATTTTAAAAAACCTTGATTATCTTTAACAAAGATAATAATTAATAATAGCTAATGCTGAGTGTTTAATCAGTGGCAGATATCACTGTAAGTTCTTTATATGTATCAATTCACTTAATCCTCCAAAGAGCCCTAGGAGGTAAGCACCGGAATGACCTGCATGCTACTAATGAAGAAGCTAAGATGCAGAACAGCTTCGTGACTTGCACAAAGTCACATGGCTATAGCTTTCACGTGCAGGGAGTCAGGCTCCAGATTTCAGTTTCCTGCACTGTCTCCAAGGCTTTATGCTGAACCCTCACATCTGAATAGCAGTTGTAATATGAAAGAGAAGGAGGGAATAATTCAAAGCCTGGACTGTGAAGAGTGTTTCCTGAGCAAAGACAGGAGACCTCCCAGTTGTAGCTGCACTTTGGCCTGTGCTGAGGGGCCCTGACCCCTCACCCCACATCAGCATGCCTATGGCAGGAGGCCTGTGCGAGCGCGCTACCCACGGGACTCTACCCCATGGCCCATGGTGGAGGCTGGGAGGGGCGTGCAGGTCCTCACCCCAGCAGAAGGACCTGATTGAAGCTGTGGCCTGCACGGGAAGCTCATGGCGATTTCACAGCCTCCTCTTCCGACTTGGGCAAAGGGCACCATTGTTTGTTTTCATGAGAACTGAGCTGGCGGAGCAGAAGGTGTTTCCAATGAAGGCCCACCTGTATCATGTTAAGGAACACACAGGAACCATGGCTTTGAACTTCAGCACGGAAGACTGTTTTTCATGCAAGTAGTGGAAAAGCATCCTGTGAGTATCTATAGGGTCCATAGAGGGCTGAGCACCACTGCTGTCCCCTGACCCAGCAGACATACTCACCACACGGACTCTGGACTGAACTAGCCACACCGGCGGTCTGTCCCTTCATCACAGGAGGCTGTCCTGTTTCCAAAATCAAGATCGCCGTGATTGCTTCCTCAAAAGTAACCATGCAGCGTGTAGCCCAGCTCCCTTCCCTCCCAGGACGTGCCTGGACTGGATGGTCTCTCTGCCTGCCTGATACCCCTGCCCCTTCTCAGGAAAGTCAACAGGAAGGAAGCTCTCATCCTGCTTTGCTTCCTCCCAGGGAAGCCTCAGAAATGTGGAGGTGACACGTGATGGACGCCTTGAGGAGCAGTTGTCCAGGGTCAGAGGGAACTCAAAGCCTCCTGGCGGGGTCGCGAGCATCTAGAGGCAGAAGCTCCCCTGCATTTGCCCCAGCACCCCTGCCACCTCCTCCTCCCAGTGTGGCCCACTGGTCTGCTTCCTAAAACAAACAAACAAAACAAATTTACATCACCTTAGGGTTGGGTCTTTTCCCAAGAAATTGATAACCCAACCAACACTGCAATGACATTAACTGGTGGCTTCAGCCTAATGTCTTCTCCTACGGACATCTCTGTTTAAATAGAAGACTGAGGCAGGCAACGTTTAACCAAACAGATGGCTTTGGTAACAGTGGGATTTCTGGCACTGTGATCCTAGACTGCTGGTTGGTGACATGGCCGTCCCTTCCAGGCCTCTCGGGAGCCCCGGTACATGCCTTTCATCACCCACGTTTGTGACTGTCTACTCAAACTGCAGTGCAAGCTAGCTCCCCTGAGACCACAGGCTGAGTTCCTATAAGTTTAAGGGGCCTTGGACCAAATCAGGGCCATGAGGTCCGCCTCATTCTCTGGGCTGCTGTTGTGTAGGTTAGCACGTCACAGTGGGCAGAGCAGGTTTGAATCCCAGGTTTTCCCAGCGACAGCTCTGCTGTCTTGGAGGATTAAAAGCCTAAGCTTCAGGTATGTCTGCACTAATGTGAAACTGTGATACTAACAAAGACGTCTGCCTCCAAGTTCATCGTGAAGATCCAGTGAAATACAGGACGTTTTGAGAACTATAAATACTGCACAAATGTAGCCATTTCTGATACTAGAAGCTAGGACATTAAAACACATTTAAAAGTCCACTTAAGATGTAGCTCCATGTATAAATGTTCATTCACAATTTTATTTTTACTCCTCCGGTCAACAGCACTGCATTGAAATTAATGCCTGCATGACCAGCATTGTTCTGTGCCACAGGAACAGCATAAGAAACATGAGACACAGTTCTGTCCTCCATGCATTTGCAGTCTGGTTGGAAGGCCAGGTCACATATGTTAAGTAAACACAAAAGCCGTACGGGACAGACATCCTCATTGCTGGTGCCTCATTTATAAATATACACTTGTAAACAATTCATACTCAACACTTGTTGCCCATCTGATCTCTTTCACCATGACAGTTGTCCAGGATGCCTTGGGTAGGACCCCCCACCATTGTCCCACCCCCTGCAGCAGAGCCCCTCTATTTCTGCCCCAACCCCTCCTGCCCCCATGCCAGAGCCCCTTCCTACCTCAAGCCTGGGGCAGACGTAGGTTTTGAATCATCCCAAATTGGAACTCGGAACATGTTCTTCCAGAAAAGCAATGAGCTCAGAGATATTAACAGGGTCTGCTCCCTCCAGGCTGGTCTAGATGTCCTTTGTCTAGGGGGAAGTTCTCTCTCACAGCACTAAGCACACACTCTTGTGACTCCCTGAAATCGGGCTCTGTATCCAGTTCATCTTCATATCTGCAATGCCTAGTGCAGGACCTGGCACAAAGTTACCAAAAAAACATTTGTGGGCAAAACAAATGAAATAAAGCATATCATGGGCTAACTGTGTTTGGGGAGGCTAGTCTGAGAACAAAACCCCATAAACCCTCCCTGGGAACTATTATTAAACCAGAAACATGAAGAAAGGAGGGTAAAAAACGTGAAAATATATATGTACATATGTGTTTGTATATAAATATGAAAGCATGCAAGAAATCAGCAAAAAAATATACTAGGTTATTAACATAGCTTAAGCGGGGACAAAGGGTAAGGGGCAGAGAGAAGAGAGAAAAAGAGCTAGCCAAAGATAAAAAGGGAGAATTAAAAGAAAACACTCTAGTATTTATAATGTATCTATAACGTATCTAAGTAAGTATCTAAGTAAAATTAGAAAAGGGAAAGATAATTCTCTGGTACAAGCCAGGTAAGAAATCAGAACTAACCCAAATGAGGAGATGAGATGAACGTTCCCAAACACACATGTGAAGAAGTGAGATCCAAGGCCAGGAAGCCAAGGGCCACCTTCAGAGCAACAGAGCTTGGGCCTGGGTGCTCCCTAAAAGATTCGGGGCCCCAGACTGTTGACTCTGTAGGCTCCAAGCTTTCCCACTAGCATGTCCAACTCCAGCCGAGGCCGGGTCCAAATAAAATGGTTCACACAGCTACGCCTGCATCATATGAGCTGAACTAATATCAACAATTACATCAGGAAAAATGTGTTTACCTTGGTTTCCCGCCACAGAAAATGGGTCCAAAATGATGTTGAACATACGCCTTTCATTCCTGCTTCTATTAGAAGGACAAATAATTTAACAGGTGGGACTCAGAATTCCATGGTTCTTTTTTTTTTTTTCTGTGGAGTATTAAACATTCCACTTTTGGTCAACGGAATCTGGAACCCTTCTTAACAGACCTCAGGGAGTTCTATTTATTTTGCAAAAGGCCTCCTAATGCTCGCATGAGCAGTGAGCTGGAAAGGCCTGGTGAGTCCAATCAGACTGTACTTTCACATGTTATCAGTACAATATGTTGCTTCAACTGAGAGACCAAATTCTGACTAACTCCTCCAAGAATTGATCCAGACAGCAAAAGGAGAGGAAATCCATTCTGCTTTAACAAGGCAATTGGTCCAGACTTCATACAGTATCATTTCAGTCTAGAATTTTCATCATCACTGCCAAAAACATCAAACAGAAACATTTCAGGACTTTCACTCAGTTTTCACTCTCCAAAGAATAACCATCTTGTTCCAGGCCTGAGCAGCAAGAAAGGAATTAAAGGGAGATGGGGCAGGGGAAGTCACATGGAGCATTTAACTGTTTCCCACCACCTGACTTCTCAACTTCATGACAATTACTAATAAAAAGCTAGGGAACTATCAGAAGCTTCCCCATATGTCAAATGCCCCACCTCTCAAAGACTCTCCTACCATATTCATTTGGTTATCGCACTCACTGTTTCTCTTTTGGGTATCTATCCTATATAACCATTTAACAGATTACTCAGGGAACAGTATTGTTTATACTAGACATCAATTGAAAAAATATCTCAATGACCTATACAAATTAGAGTGCATTAGTACAAGTAACTCTAACTACTATAATGAACCAGCCCCAAATAACTTGCTCATGTAAAGTTCAAAAGTGGTGGTAGAGATTGGTGGCCGGGCTTCCCACATGATTCAGGAACCTATGATCTTTCCATCATATGCTCAGTTTTCTGCTAGGACCATGGGGTCCTCTGTGTTCAGCCAGCAAACAGGGGATCAAAGAGTGGAAAAGCTACATCCATATCTTAAGAACCTCAGCCCGGAATGAGACACGTGACTTTCACTCATGATACATTAGTCACTTAACTGCAAAGAAGACTGAGGAATATTGACTAGCTGTGTGTTCTGAAAGAAGAGAAAACATTTTTAATAAAAAGATAGCTGCTGTCTGCCATAGACAGCCAACTGGAATAATCCATACTCTAAGAATCCATACTTTAGAGTGTGGATTATGTTATCATTACCACAGTAATTTAGGAATCATATTTTGGCTTACAGTGTGTATATATGTGTGTGTATATCTGTGTGTGTGTGTCATCCAGATAGCAGGACTATGATGACTGAGCTTCAGAATCATGCAGAGTTCAACACCTGACATTTGCTGCAGATGAACACTCATAAAATCCTGAAGTGTTTCCCTTCTATAAAAGTGAAGTCCAAAGTGGTGCAGACACACTGATGACGGTCCAAACTCGGAGGCAGAGAGTTTGTCTAAGTAAGAATTTGGGGAGTGATAAAAAAAACTTTCCAAGCAATGCCTTCACTGTAGACACTGTCCACACTAGATGCTCATGTACTCCAGGCCTGCTGTTCAGACTCCCAGAGGCTTTGCATGGACAGCTACAGACCTACTGTGTTCTAGCTTGTTACAGGTCACAAAGCATATCAATAATTCTCCTTTGATCTTCAAAAGAACTTAGTGTAATAATCCAAGCAGGGATTAGTGTCTGATTTTTTTTTTAATTTTCAAGGTGGAAACTGAACGGCAAATGACGTAAAGGTAAGCAGAAGTGGGTCTTGACTCAAAGGCCATTCTCCCACCACATCAGCACCCATTAGCTCCTTGGAAAGACTATGACTCCAGTCATCTCAACAACTACCACTGGCTTCTTCTTTCCACACAGATCACTTTCATGGGATCATTCCTTGTGCTTTTATCTAACAAAAGAAAAACCTACCACACATTTCTCCTTGAGTATGATGGAACCCTGCCAAACAAAACTTGTAAACCCTAAGAATTTGTTACTCAAAATATAGAGTGTGGACCAGCAGCATTGGGAGCCCCCAGGAGTTTGTTAGAAATGCAGACTCTTGGGCCCATTCCCTGAGCCACTGAGTCAGATCCTCTGTTTAAACAAGATCTCCAAGTGATACTTAGGCACATCCAATGTTGAGCAACATTTGTCTAGGACATCCTTTAGCATACTCACTTGAATGCTTAGTAGGGAAAAAAAAATGGCCTAATACAAAAAGAGTTCCTGCAAATCAATAAGAAAAAGAAAAAAGGTATAAAATAGACAAAATATAAGAACAGTTACTTCACAGAAGAACTGCAAATGGACAATAAACATCAGCATAAAATGCTCATCTTCTCCAGCAAATTGGGAAATCCAAATTAAAATGACACATTATCATTTTTCACCTATCAGATTGACAAAACTTGTGAAGCCTGATAATCTCCAAATTGAAACCACTTTGGGAAAAGGACATTTTCTTATAATATGGGAGCTTGAATTGTTATAATCTCTCTTTTTTTTTTTAAGTTATGCTTTTTTTCCTCCAGTGAGAAAGATTGGCCCTGAGCTAACATCTGTTGCCAATCTTCCTTTTTTTTCTCCCCAAAGCCCCAGTATATAGTTGTATATCCTAGTCATAAATCATTCTAGTTCTTCTATGTGGGACGCCACCACATCATGGCTTGATGAGCAGTGTGTAAGTTCACGCCCAGGATCCAAACCTGTGACCCCTGGGCCAGTGAAGTGGAGTGCACAAACTTTAACCACTTGGCCATGGGGCCAGCCCTCTACTCTTTTTTTTTTAAGTTTCAAAGATTTTGACCAAAAAATTCCACTTCTAAGAATCCAGTCGATAGAAATACCTGTTAAAGTGTCAAAGACAAGTGTAAAAGAATCTTCGTTACTCCATCAGAATTGTGAAATATGAAGGGAATCTAAATATCCCTCTATAAGAAAATAGTTCAATAAATTCATGGTCTCTATACCAGGAGACCATGTAATAACTTAAAAAGAGGTGTCATGGGGGCCAGCTCAGAGGTGTACTAGTTAAGTTCATATACCCTGCCTGGGTGGCCCAGGGTTCACAGGTTCAGATCCCAGGCGTGGAGCTACACACTGCTCATCAAGCCATGCTGTGGCAGCGTCCCACGTATAAAATAGAGGAAGACTGGCACAGATGTTAGCTCAGTGACAATCTTCCTCAAACAAAAAGAGGAAGACTGGCAACAGACATTAGCTCAGGGCCAACCCTCCGCCTCCTCAAAAAAAATGAGGTGTCATTAATAAAAGTGTCCATGACACATCATTGAATGCCTAAACAAGTTGCAGAATATTATGCACAGTATGATCTCATTCCTATATTTTAAAACTATATGGGAGAGAGGTGTACATATTTCTTAAAACTCATGAAAACACTAAAACTTAAAATTGATGCCTTTTACTTTGTGGAAATTGTACCTCAATAAAATTTATTAAAAGGACTACATGTGTTTCTCTTAGTGGATATTATATATGTGTTTTCAGGCCTACATAATGGCCTGTAAGGAAACCCAACAAGCCTTTAAAAGTGGCAGAAGCCTAGGAGAGGAGAACATGAGTGGGAACTTTCTGCAGTGCTAGTATTTTTTCAACAAGCAGGTATACTTCTTGTATTTTAAAGAGCACAAGTTAAAAATCTAAATGAAATAAGTGGTGTCATTTTCAGTGAGCCTGGATCAATGTGGAAATCCATTAATTGCTTCCTTTGGCCTCATTAATTGCTTCCTTTGGTTGAGTGTAATCATTTGGTATCTGGTGTGAGGGTCTACATTCAAAGTGTTGTCAACATCACACACACGATTGCCAGACTGGCTCTCCATAAACACATCTGTGACTTTGTACATAACTACTGAGCATCTTCAAGCATCAGCCCTGGGCTAAAAATTTTATGGAAACTTGATACAAAGAAAAAGACACAGTTCCAGCCCCAGCTTTACCACTTTTCTACTGAAAACCTTAAAGCATTCTGTAGCAGGTAGCATCATAAGTCTAAATTTGTTAACCTACCTTTAAAGTCTCCTCTTCCTGCCCCACCACTGAGCATTGTTTATCATTATTTTCCTTTATTTCCTGTCCACTCTGTCCACTAGCCTTTACACTGTCCTACAGACATCCCAGCCTTTGCTTCTAGTCCCTCTCACCTGGAATCCCTGTCTCCCACACTATTGCATGCTCTCATCCACCCAACAAGATCCATCTCTGCCTCTTCCGTGAGTTCCTGCTAAGCCCAGCAACTCTCAGTCATCTCCCTTCCCCTCATCCTGCCTTATTTGTTGGATGGTCTTGTCTCTGTAAGGAGAAAGGGGCCATGTCTCTGTCTTTCCCATCCCTCCCATTGTATCGTACAAAGTCAGGAACATAGGAATGATTAACTGACAACTATTAATTATTTATTGCTTTATAATTTTTTAAATGTTTGACAAAGGAGAGGAAATTAATAGGAAATAAGTAGTTTTCCAAAAGCCTGATGAGGTAGGTATTTTTCACATTTTATAGATGGAAAAACTGAGGCTGGGTGAGGTTGGGTGATTTGGTCAGGCTTATACAGCTCACAAACAATAGAACCAGTCTTCAACCCCACTTCTGAATATCTCTACAGCCCGTATCTTTTCTCTGCACCATGCCGCCTTCCTAACTTGTTACTTAGGTGATCTCATTGAATTCTCACATTGCTGTCTCAAGAAATACTTGTTGATTGATTGATGACATGTTCAGTAGCAATGTGGTCCAGTTAAAGGGTTTCCTGCTGCTGAATTTGATGAAAAGCCCCTGCTGTGCTCAGAGAGGTTTAACCTGCTTCGAACTCTGGCTTTCCCACAATATCATCAGTCTCAATCCCAAGACCTGTGCAATACATGGCATGAAGTTTTATCTACTTACAGAGCTTCAAAGTAAGGTCTGAGATGACAGAGTTCAAACTCAAGCCCTGGCATCTGGGGCAAGGGTTCAATGCTGGGGAGTCCACCATCACTCTACTTTCCGAGGTTCTCTCTGGTAGTCACTTAGCCAAGTGTGGGTTGGGCCGTCTTGGATAAGATACCTTGACTTTACCTC